AAATCAGCCCGGCAGATGGCACTGCAGTCGGTACTTTCATACTTTGCTTAATATCCTAATCGCTTTAAATATCATGCAGGACAACGTCTGTGGGGTCCACTAGTTACATGTATATTTCTTTTTCATAGGTAGTTTTGCATTACAAACTAGCGGACCCGACAGATGTTGTTGACGTCTTAAATACAACATTGCAAACTTAAAAATCAATAAAAAAATGTAAATAATCCGAACTATTCTCGAATCCACTAAAACACTCATCAAAATTGGTCTTTACATTAATTGCATTACGGCTTTGTCGGGTAAGATTCGATCGTCTTATAAAATCTCGAAATAAACACATACACCGATCAACTTCAAAACTTCTAATTGTCAAATTTTCAATCATACTTAACCATAGATAGCATTACGTTTAGCTGTCAGTTGCGTTTTGTTATATCATTCTTAACAAATTAACGCCTAGACTGATGGTTTGACTGATAAATTGTTCGTTTTTCTATTTGTAGCATTTTGTTATACCACGTTTTATGTAACGTCCCACGGAAACAGCCCTGCGATTCTGTAACTCACTTTTCGAACTCACACAGCGGTTTTCGCATCGGCGGTCGCTCTGAAATCAGTCGTGAAGCAGTCATTTTATGATTTGGCATTCTGAAAAGGTGGGAGCTTGTAGTTTATGGTTTATCAGAATGCCAAATCATAAAATGACTTGCTTCACGACTGATTTCAGAGCGACCGCCGATGCGAAAACCGCTGTGTGAGTTCGAAAAGTGAGTTACAGAATCGCAGGGCAGGATAAAAAGTTCAATGTCCGTCTCCTGGTTCTAAGCTAACTCCCTAAGTACCAATTTTCCGCCAAATCGGTTCAGCCGTTTTTGATTTATAAATAGTGTAACTAACACGACTTTTTTTTACAGGTAGATAGATCAGCCTTTTGTGCCTGACATTCCTGGGTTATGACTTTATATATTTTATCCACGATTTTAATTTATAATACTAATATTCATTTCTATATGCAATGTCACTAATCAAAATCTGTCCAGCAGTTTAGGAGTTTAATTACGAACACATGCACAGAATATTTATATATTCCAGCTGTTTATTTGCTGTATAGATAAATAAGCCAGATACCAACTGCAGCACCATCTGCCGGGCTGATTTGTGAATCTAAAGAATCCAGGGCGCTATCCAAACGCATACAGAAAAATTCATTTAAATCGGTCCAGCCGTTTAAGAGGAGTTCAGTGACATACACACGTCCAGTAGAATTATATTATAAGAGTGTATAAAGATTAGTGACTTGTGCGATAAATATAGCCTATGTTCTTTCATTATAATGAAACATTACAATCGTGAAAATTTTGAAATAATTCCATTATTCTTTGAGTTTCTTTTCAAAATATACAAAGAAGCATATGTTTTCATTTTTAATTATACGGATAATGAGCCGTTTATATATTTTTAAAACATGACACGTCAGCATAGGGAATATATAGTCGTAGGTCATGTGAATAATTCAAGAGGAAGGGAACGACCTCTGACTTATAAATGAAGGTTGTTTCACTACTAAAACGAATAATTATAACTTCCACGCTATCAACAGATAATACTGTAGTGAAAGGGAACTAGAAAGTTTTCCTTAAGCGAGAATTAAGTTTGGCGGTTGTTGTATGGAGATGTTCAAATAAAACACTTTGTTTGAATCTGGGTAACAACTGATTTTAATAGTTTAAATATGAGCTTCTAACTAACATAAAATTACGGGTAGTGGGATTGCGACGCTAAAAGCCCACGAGAATGTAAGTGCGTGCTCCTATTTCACCATGCCTCCTGCTGATAGAGGACAAATCTTTGTTTTTAATTTATTTTATTATTATTTATTACTTAAGATGTCATGTGGAACATGGTGTAATGGTTGCAGCTCCTTACAAACGCTGTGTAAAACAAAAAACGTGGCGATTAAAAATAGTGGCGGACAGTTTATTGCCAGTTCTTCTCTTCCGTTTTACGCCCTTGATTTGAGAACTGGCAGTAAATGTAAAATTAGAAGCATTTAACGTATATTTCTTTTTTTGACGTTCATAAGTGTACATTGTGTTACCTATATGAATAAATGATTTTTGACTTTAGACTTTTGAACAAGAACTTGGATTACTTAAGGGTTCACAAATCTAAATGACCCTTATGTTATTGGACATTATCGGAAACGAGAATGTTAAAATACAATTTATGAGTGTGGTAAAAACTAAAGGGCTCAATATTGGCTTCAAGCAGGCGATGATTCTTTACATTTTGTTTACGCTTCTAATTATTAACTAAAAGATTTATATGAAACTAGCAGACCGGCCAAGCGTTGCTGTGGCTAAGGTTTTTGTTATATTACATAGTAGTAAACTATTCAAGGGAAACGGTAAGAGAACACCAGTCATGGGGGCCACCAAGCTTTATTGGTGGTTATGCCATTAAATTGTAGCTTATGTGAAACGTTGGTACTTTCAACACAGCGCCATCTGTTAGAATTGTGATTGTTAAATAATAAACAAATATTTTGAAATAAAATAATATTGCGGGTATAAATTGAGATGTAAGCTATCTTTTAAGTTAGATAAAACTGCACACGGTGTGCAAATTTGATTGATATCGGTTCGGTAGTTTAGAAGTCCATAGCGGACAAACAACGTGACACGTAATTTATATATATTAAGACTTTACTAATGGTGAACATAACTCGTTAAAAGAAAATAATAGAAAAATTTCCTCGTATATTTAAAAACCAAGATAATTATAATAAAACATTCAACGTAATGTAAAACTTTGATTCATATTTAGATATTTTCTCACACTATTGCATATAAATAGCATTTTTAAATTAAATAAATTTTCTGTTGTCCCAAAATTCAATTTTTTATACAATTTTATCCTAATGGAAATGCAACAACGACCAGGCATGATTGATTTACATTAACAATAATAGTACATGCCCCACGGATAACTGTCAGGCACATATTTATTATAAAAAAATACAGATGGCTATGCAAACATTGAAGTAGGTCAGAACAGATACAAGCTAGAAATGCGCATATTACAAAATCGGAACTGATTAGGCAAAAAGTATTTCATATATAAATAAAAAATATTTAACATAAACTTCAATACTGAGGTCGCACATAAATAATTAGATATCGATTGATTCTGTCGAGTGTCTTCCATTATTCCGAGTTTATTAATGAAATGGATGATTGAATGTGGAAATTTATAGTACATATTTTGGAGTTGAGTCTGAACAGCCTGGCGATTATTTTATTTTATCGGCACACTAACGAAACACATACAAACACTTACTGAGAACACACAACATACAAAAAAAAACACATTACATGCATGTGCATCAACGACAGTGTGCACAATGTTTAAAGGGAAACATTACAATTATAAAAGAGAAAATAAATAATACAATAAAAAACCCATGAGATATATTACCAGGAAAAATAAGAAATGAAGAATGTGATTATTTAAAAAAATTCATCATTACATTTTAGATAATTAAGATACATCATGAGTATTATCATAAATTTAAATATTTGTTTTATAAATAACATATTATGTAATTGCAATATTACGTCGTGCGTGAAAGAACTTAAAATTGATTGCTGTCAACCGAAAGGTGAAATTGTACATTTATTTCGTAAGTTCAATACAAAATAAGTTTAAATACAAAAATATAAAGTGCAGTTATGTAAGTGCTTCCATAGTAGTTACTTAATATGCGCAATTAACACTTGCTGGCTGGGTTAATGGTTGTGTGAGGAAACTGACAAATTTTAGACAAAAATCCGGCAGAGGCTGGTCACCTATTAGCCTAACATAAATAATATATACATTATACATATACCTATATATTGTCTCGTTATAAGTTTTTACTATAAAGTACGTATTCGTATTAAGTTTACTTAAAGGGGTTCCTATATGTGTAAGATATAGGAACCCTTTTTAGAAAAAATTGAGCATTGTTGGCCTAGTGGCTTCAGCGTGCGACTCTCATCCCTGAGGTCGTAGGTTCGATCCCCGGCTGTCCACCAATAGACTTTCTTTCTATGTGCGCATTTAACATTCGCTCTAACGGTGAAGGAAAACATCGTAAGGAAACCTGCTCGCCCAAAAAGTCGGCGGCGTGTGTCAGGCGCAGGTCATATGATCACCTACTTGCCTATTAGATTGTCAAATGATCATGAAATAGATATAGAAATTTGAGGCCCAGACCTAAAAAGGTTGTAGCGCCATTGATTTATTTTAAATAAAAAATACCTGAGTTAGGGTTCCCGGCTCTTCTTTTTCTTTTTTTTTTTTATTCTTTGAATTACAATTTCATTTAATTTTTTAAACTGTTTAAACACGCGTGAGTGTTTAAGTGAGTGCGTGGGTGAATGTGAGCAAATGGATGAGTCTCAGAAGCACCCCCAACTCTGCGTAAGGTGTGTTCATAAGCCAGTTCTTTAAGAGATTTTTGAGATTGTGGACGGTGATCGGATAGATATTAAGCAGCCTATTTATTGTATAGGCAGCCTGTGATGTAAATAATATTATATATATATAATAATAAATATCAAGATAAATGTACGAAACATAAGTTCAGGCAAGTTCCCCGAAGCGCCACTAAATTATTAATATTTACATCAGTTGCGATATTCAATGTAACCCGAGGGCTTTATTAATTCTCCTACAAAATACATTAATCTGTATTCGCTTACACATAATTTTATTGGGGCTACAATAGAATTGCGATATAATCTCGAGGTCCAATTTCCTATTCTCAGCACAATACAGACAATCCTTTTTATATGCTTTCTTTAAAATGGGTAATCCAGTGTTATAGTAGACTTGACACATTGCATAGTAATTATATGTAACACTTATTTTGTAGGGTAAATCGACCAAATCCTTCCAAACCAATTAAATAGCAAATACCTAGAATTTTATGATTAATAAAATGAATATTTTTGCAGGTGGCGAGTCCGACCACATCTTCCATCTTCACGGCTACAGTTTCTATGTCGTTGCCATGCAGCAATACAACAGAAGCTTAGACAAAGACTTAGTAAAACAAATGAACGAAGAAGGAATTTTATTTAATAGAAGAAATGTTAAAAATCCAGTGCTAAAAGACACCGTAGTGATTCCCAAATTTGGTGTTGTTGCTCTACGCTTCAAAGCAGATAACCCCGGTTACTGGATGATGAGGGATGAGAGATCAGCTCATTGGACACGGGGGCTCGATTTTGTTTTAAAAGTCGGTGAGGAGAAGGACTTTGTTCAGGCACCTTCAGACTTCCCTAAGTGTGGTTCTTATGTTGGTCCAGAATACTTTTTAATTTAATTGTAAGTCTCGTGTGTGTATATGTATAAATGTAGATATATTTATCCTATATAACAATAACATTATGATAAATGTAGGTATGGTATTTACGTCACCCAGTATTCATGACAGCTGGACAGTGCGAGAGCTTCTTGTTCAAAAATATATTAAATTAATAGATATTAATATTTTTTTATTGTGCTTAAGTGATCTTATTGAGATGGGTTTTTAATCTTGCCACTTGCATATAAAATACAATTTAAATGAATTACTTTTTGGATGGAATTTAATTAGTAACGCATATTACGCGCTTAAGATATAACCATAATTTTGGCTATAATTTTTGATTGTTTTATGTTTTCATATAACTGATCCTTCAAAGTTATTATTTTTATTAAATAGTTTGACTTCTATGCTTAGCTTAGATGAAATTATAGTCAGTCAACCACTTTCCTTTTAAATACACAGTTGAATCTCTCTTTTATAGATGCTTTAGTTGATGATATAGTATTTATGACTTAGATAAATAATTTTTTATTTACGTTTTAGTCTATTCCATTTTTTACCAGTTCTTAAAAGGCCGACAACGGACTTGCGAGCCTTCTGGCATTGAGAGTGTCAATGGGCGGTGGTATCACATCAGGTGAGCCTCCCGTTTGCCCTGCTCTATAAAAAAATCTACTAATAGACTGTACGCTTCTTTTTGTAAGAAGCTTCTTCTGGAAAAAAATTAGTCAAAATTCAATAGGTTTTTGACAAACGGGAGTCACACTTGGCACTCGTCTTGTTTTTGATGTCCAGTGTATTAAAATTCTAATAAAATTCCCGTAACTCACGCGTTGTTATAGTTAGTCTACAATTGTTGTACAAAGTTAGTGCCAAAACGCAAATCACAGTAGTTTAGGAGTACGCACAAATTGCCCAAATTATTAATCAATTCTTCATCATTTAGCTCGACGCCGACTGAAAGTATTATAAGCTTTATTTATTAGTTTTGTGATAGTATATTGAGACGCAATCAGAGCGTGACATATAACTCTATGCAGATATCATGTTTCTTTAAGAATTTGATGATTAAAATTGAAATTGCGTCTTTTGTATGAATCTTGTACATGACAACACTTTATATACATTTGTTAATAAAAATGTTACACGATACTTTGTTTTATTTATTACATTAAAATTGTACGAACAATATTTTGTGTATCTACCAGTGAAGCTTCTATAAATTGTCTTAGCACACAAGTAAGCCTTTGAAAATCCTTCTTATTATATTATTTAAAATATCACGCACACATTTATAAAACCGACAATTTACTTCCTGTTTCCGTATAAAACCGGAAGAGGTGCGGTTTATCCGAATATGAATAAACATATTGTTTTGTCAAAATCTTGATGTAACTCAGTTTTTAATTAATTATCAAGCCTTTATTGCTGATACTCAGTATAATATATATAAACACTTATTTAAGTAACATAACCTAACTTAATCTATAACATCATAAGAGCCGGTTTTTGTAATCGGTTTGGTGACACAAAGGCTTCTTCGAGTTGCTTCCATTCTTTTCTAATGTTAGCTCTTCTTGTCCACGTTGTGCCTTCTATATTATCTTTATATATATTATCTTCATCTCGTCTGCCCATCTCTTGCTCTGTCTTCCTCTTTCCTTCTTGAAGTTGCTCTTTCCAACTTTCGAATAGTATACCTATTTAATAAATATTTGCTAGTAGAACTAACCAAATCATTCGTTCATAATTTACACGATTCGAATACTTGACGAAACAATAGAAAAGCTAGATATCTAATAGTGATAAACACACTTCAAATATAATTAAATGAAACATTATATTTCATACGTAAGAAGTGAAAGTTAGAGAACAAAGTGTCTTAGATGGCATAGATAGCATTTGAAAGGATTTATTTATGGAACTAATAAATGAGGTACCGGAAGTGAAATTTTTAAATTATGAATTTTATTATGTAATAAGTAATTTCTGACTCCGTGCGTTGTAACGTGCTGCTTATAAACATAATATTATGAGTCCCCACGGTGCAATAGTAGTTGTTTTTGCTTTGTTGCTAAGATATATGCGCAAACACGTCCTGTGGGAGGATCTTTTTCAGATATTCATGCAAGTTCTTGATTGACGACAACTCGTTTATATATTTAAATACCAAGCCTGTACACGCCCTTCCATTTTCAAAATAGCGATACATATCGATAGTACACAAAAAATGTCTTCTATAACAAACCGGTAGCAGTTTTTTTTTACATCAGTAAATATAGTTATAGGCCCTTAAAACTTTTTTATTAATTGTTAATGTCTTTTAAATCCTATTTAAGTTCCAAATTTAAATTGTTTTCTCCATATACTTTAAGAATTTAAAACAATTATTGACAGTTATAAAACGTTTCGTTTATTTATTTACTGAAGTACACCACATCATATAAATGCATTTTCTACTGTATATGTTATAAGCTATCTATTCTAAAATACATCTCATTTATAGTGAACAGTTTTTTTTTACAAAAAAACAAAACTTACACTTCCAATATTAGTTTTTACTAGTAATTTTTGCTTAACAATGCGTTTAGGTAGCAGATAGGCGATGTTTTTTTTAATTCATTGATGTTCCAATGGAATTTCATTCACGCAAGCAGCACGGTAGAGCAAAAATGTATGTTATCCGCAAAACCACGCTTTTGTCCTAAATCTTTCAATGGTATTTCGCGGCTGTACCCAAAGAAGTGATGAGCTTTTCCATAAACAATGTAAAAATAAAAGCTCATAAAGACAGGAGATAATTTTTCATTACCTCTCTACCGGATGCAACATTAATGCGAGTGACGAAAAGCTTTAATGGTTTCTTTGCCAAATATAACGAATTATATAAAAGCCAGGACTGACAGGTGTTATAATTCTTTAATATCTGTGGTGGTAATATTAATGAAAAACATATTTGATTCGGTTGAAAGATACTTTATTTCTCAAAGAATTACATTCACTTAGAGAGAAATTTTAGAGGTTAGTAATGTACATAGTTTTGAAACTATTTAAAAATAAGCTATTTAAACTAAAAGTATTAGTTGCTAAGTATATGGACAATATTTTTTTACAATATGCAGGTAGGTCGCATCGATGTTACTACAAGCATTATGTGAGTAATTAATTTAATAATTTCAATTCAAAATTAGTAATAATTTCTTAGACGTTCGTTCACAGATATAAATATATGGTAGAAGTATTTTTTTTTATGTTTTGCAATTACATATTTATGCTATTCATTTATATTGAACTTTTACGATTTTTATCATTTATTTTTTTATAGAACGGGGTGCAAACGGGCAGGAGGATCACCTGATGTTAAGTGATACCGCCATGGACACTCTCAATGCCAGAGGGCTCGCAAGTACGTTGCCGTCCTTTTGAGAATTGGTACCCTCTTATCTTGAAGGATAGAGTCGAATTGGTTCGGAAATACTTCAGTCTTTGGAAGTTGTTCAAGAGAGCCTCGTGAGTGCGTTGGCCTTTTAATAATTGGAACGTTTTGCTCGAATCTATTATTTTTGTTATTAATTGTGTTGCTACATAAATCATATTCTGCATAAATTATTATTTAAAGCTGTGGGTTGAAGTATACTGAATCGAAACACGTTTTGAAAGACAACTTTCACTTTTTGATTCGCCGAATAATGCTGTGCTAAGTGTTTACAATACAACCATGATTGGACAATTATAATAATCAAACAACAATTACAATAATCATAACTTTTCACTGACTTCATAAAGGTTCTCAATTTTGTATGTAAGTATTACTCGAAGACGGCTGCGAAGATTATTTTTAATGGAATGGGTACTACATGTTTCTTTATTTTTAAATCGTCTAAAGAACTAATTACGTTATTTGCCTTACGTCACGAAGGTTTTTATGGTGTGCAAAAATATAAAAATAATTATGATTGAATTGAATTAAGCCAAAAATTATCCCATCTGAGCTTTTAGTTGCTGCAACACTGATTCCAGTGGGCTATTCATTCATATCTTCACCCATACAACACAAACAAAAATGTTAACATTAAAAAAAAATATAAAACATTACACTGCAAGTCCCCACGCAAGCTTCACGGCATCACTTATGGTAAGGCTGAATTATTTCCAAACCAATTCGACTTAGGGTCTTTCAAGAAAAGAGCGCACCAATTCTTAAAAGGCCGGCAGCGCGCTTGCGAGCCTTCTGGCAATGCAAGTGGCCATGGGCGGCGGCATCACTTAATATCAGATAAGCCTCCTGTCCGTTTGCCTCCTGTAACTTAAAAAAAGTAAAAAAAAATGCGTTTTATCTTCAACAAGGTGTTAGTAATAATATGGCGTTCCATCCAGGTAAGACTTGCATCGAATCTATCATTGGTTGTTTAACTTAAAATGAAATTTATCTTGGTGGTCATACTATTTCACTTTTATTAAGTAACTTAAATTATACAATGTTCTCAAAATATCTTTAACAATAAAGAAAACGAACTACATTAATCTTAATCACTGGACTATTTGTAACGATTATGTTCTTGCGCTTTCCCAAGTTGTATTATCGTTTATTTATTGTTCAACTTTTCCATTTGATTAAGAGGAACAAATTAAATAAAGATTATTCTGTAACTAGAATGGTGGAGCGGGCTGGTCTTTGGGTGTTTTGGACGAAACTATTTATAGAAAAACACTTTGGTCACCGTGACCACGCACGCTGTAAAGCACGCGAAACGTCGGTTAAATTTAAAATTATGTAAAATAATTGTAAATTTATAATAAAACATAACTTCAAATCCGTTAAAAATGTGTTTTTCTATGTCTAAAAGTTACGTCTATAAAAGACAATACTACGAAACTATTAAATTTTCATTATTAAAATCATTAAAATAAAGACACAATTAATAAAGTATAAATAAGCACTGATGGTGCTACATATTAGAATGACATCTACACGTAGAATAGTGTCTGTAGGTCTAGGTTTTGCTAAATGTAAT